AGTTTGGTTCAGTAGATAGAGCGACAGCCTGCAGATCAAAGGGTGGTCCCAGGTTCAATTCCGATTAAGGGCACATACTTTGGTTGCAGGCTCCTCCCCAAACTCAGTTGGGGTATGTGCAGGAGGTAACCAATCGATGTTTCTCTGTCTTTCCCTCTTTCTTCCATTCCCCCTAAAAAATAAAAATCAATGGGAAAAATATCCTCTAATGAGGATTAACAACCGCAAAAAAAGAACAGCACTCTTTCCCATAACTCTGTGATCCTATGGAGAATCCAGGGGCTGCTGAGGCAAGAGGCTGCACTTCCCTTCCCTTCTCTTCCCTTCCCCCTTGACCTCTGGACACATCCTCATGACGCCAGTCATGTTCCCATGGAAATCACTTACAATGGCAGCCTGTTAGAAATGCAGCAGCGATTATCTGCAGCATGGTTGGGTTCTTGATTTTGTAAAACCTGCGCTCTGTCCTTTAAAGGGGTCAAGTTTAACAGGCAGTCCTTTTTGTCTTAACAATTGACACATACACACACAATACAGAACAAAGAATTGTCTTTGGGAGAAAAAAAACAAACACAGATTAAAAAAAAACAATTGTTTAACCAGGCTTTCATTTATTTAGCCCTCCTTCCTTTTTTATTGTTTCCCTCTCATCTACCTTTTTCCACTGTGTGCTGCTAAATGTGGCCAGTGCCAAATTATGTTTTATTCTCAACCTGAGTGAGAAATCATCAAGGTATAAGTAAAGTCTGGCCAAGAAAGGTCCCATCCTACCAGTGCAATTTGAAGTTTCAAGTTTATACAGACACCAGTTCCTCCCAGCATGTTTCTGTCCTGAGAAATCCCAGAGAGTGGAATTCTTGGGTAGACAAGGAAGACACTTTCTCACAAGAGCAGCAGTAGTGATAAGAAAGTGGTCAAATGGCGCTTGAAATTTTGCACAAAGACCTGTGAGAGACCAGGCGCTAGGCTACAAACCCACAGCTCCGCTCTTTTTAGCATCCCCACAACAGCCTGCTGTTTTCCCAGGTGGCTCTGAATGAGACCGGGGAATGCAGGGGCCATTTGTCACGGCCCCAGGTGCAATAGTCATGCCAGTTGGTACATGCAGCCTGCAAGGCCCACTCCTGCCCACGTCTGGATCATGGCCTCTGGGCTTCCTTTGAATAGAGATTGGGGAGAACATGTTCCCGTCTATGTCCTCCACCCGAGCCAATGATTAGACTCACTTCTGAAACCAATTCAGCCTTCCCAACCATGATCAAAGGTGCCTGTACTCGGTGTGATTCCGTCCACTCCATTTTCAACTCAAGATACAGGGTGTTTTATTTTTGTTTTGTTTTGTTTTTGTGGGGGTAGAGGGATTGAGCAAAAAAAGAGAGAGAAAAGACAGGGGTTTTTTTTAGAAGTATGGAGATTCAATATGCCAGTCTTAGAATTCCAAGGTTATCCTGGTCAATGAATGTGCTGGTGTGCCCTTCACTGCGTGCTGGACTGGAGTCTCGCTTCAGCCAAGTCCTAAGTTGGGCTCAGGGTTCTGCCTGAGGAAGAAGCCACGGGTTGCTTGCAGGAGATGGCAAAGTAGAGGAGCCTCCTGTTCCTTTTTGCCCAACTCAGTGCCCGGCGCCCACTGTGAATGGAATAAACTGATGAGATAGATGGCTGATAATAGCCCTTCTGCCTCTGAGAAGAGAAGCGAACTGAAGTACAACTTCCAGAAGTCAAATTACAGATATAAAATAAGATTAAAGGAAACACTGCTTCTAAATTTGTTTTAAGGGCATTTCATTGCAAATTGAGATTACGTGTTTAGAACTACTTCCTTTGATGGGGACTTGGTAAATGAACTTGGAGACATTATGCGCCTGAGAGACCTAAGCACTGACAGCCTGGTCTCATAGTCTCACTCTGTGCATCCCTCCTCCGCCTTCTTCCAATTCCATCAAGTGTAGGGAGGTTGCGTTTGGCCCTCTGAGTTGGAATTATGCAAAACCCAAAAATAGACTCTCAAAGTGCACCCAGACATAATGATTCCATGCGGCAAGAAGGTCACTGTGTCTGCTTTTCCTGCCAAGACACCCCTGGCTCTTAATCTATGGCTGCCTTGTGAAGCAAGAGAGCTGTGCCAGGAAGTTACACTCTGTAACTGGGAGGCGTCATGAGAATTTAAAATCATGTCAATGGGGTTTTATAAGGGCAAGTCAAGGAAGTAGGATTAGACATAGTTTTAGAAGACGGTCTTTTAACATCCTTTTTTTCCCCCCCTGTGGCCTGAGAGCTACCATAACTCAGCTAAAATAAAATAAAATAAAATAAAAACACATTATCTGGCCCCAGCTGCAAATCCACTCCACCCTGCCAATTCTGCCAAAAATTAGAAAGACAGCCACCCAAAAAGTGTGCTGTGATGATCTGAGTGGTGGGGTTATGAGTTAGTTTTATTGTTTTCTTTTATTACTTTTCAGTAATTTCCATCACATATACTTCCTGGTTTTCTGATGCTTAAAAAAAAAAAAAAAAGCAACACCTTCTATTTAAAAAGCAAAACTATCCTAGCTGATTGTTTAGTTATGTTCTTTGAATGCTCAGTAAGTACCTGGTGTTGAGAAGTCCACCAGGGTCGTGACGATGGCAGACCTGCCTCTTCCCCCATCTCAGGCCTCAGAATAGAGTTTGTGTTCACGGCCCCATCCCCACTGCGAGGTTCCAAAAGGCTCCTGGAGAGGCCAGACCGCAGACCCTGGGAGGACTCACAGCAGCCAAGCAGCACAGGAAGGGCCGTGTGCTGAGCCAGACACCTCCGCACCAGGAAGGGATTCCATTCCCATCCCTGGTCTCCGGTGGCCAGGCCTGCTTGGCACATGCTTGTTGGGAGGAACAGTGTCAGCTCAGTTCATCTGGAAACACCGCGCTCTCATCCTAAGAATGTCCAGTTGATGCCATGTTTTTAGAAATTGGGAAGATCCTGTTTTCCAGACTTGTAGGAGTCAAGTAAAGTGTAAGAAGTAGCGACATATATCTGGGAGCAAACAACCTGTTCGGGAACTTCAAAAATTCTCTTAGGGTTCAGGGGAAAGATTCATTTAGACTTGGGGCCTTGACCATCCAGACTGGTTATTGACCATGTACTCCATCTGCCAACCAACCCTGCCTCTGTCTAGGTCGTGTCAGGCTCAGAAAGTTGAGGGGAGCAGGCTGAGCAGAAATGGCCTGTATGGACCGGGAAGCTATGTCATCTCATCCTTAGACATAAATAATTCCACTAGAAAACCCTCTATTTCTTACACATCACATGCAGACTTAATATTGAATGTAGTGGGGGTCCTCACTCCAGTGGGCCTCACTGCCTTGAACTTGAGGTCAAGTTCAAGCCCATGGCACAGAGATCAGAAACGGAATACCTAGCAGTTTGCATGATAGACTATGTGTCAGGGAGGTAAGGCTGTCATTAAGAATGGATTATTATTGTAGGGTTTTTTGTTGTTGTTGTTGTTGTTGTTGTTGTTGTTGTTGTTGTTAATCCTCACCTGAGTATATTTTTCCATTGATTTTTAGAATGGAAGGGAGAGGGAAAGACATAAACATCAATGTGAGAGAGATATATTGATTGGTTGCCTCCTATATGCACCCTGACCGGGGCTGGGGAACCTAAAACTTAGATATATGCCCTTGACCGGAATCTAACTCAGGACCCTTCAATCTGTGGGCTAATGCTTTATCCACTGAGCCAAACCAGTTAGGGCAAGAATGGATTATTTTTAATAGGCAATAGAGATCTCACTCATCAGTTTCCTCCATTCTCCTATGTGTTACTTTATGACAATGCAGTGGCCATAGATTTTTAGGTAGTACATAAATAAAAAAAACTCAATACTAGTGTATTCATTGTAATGTCTATTAGGGAAACAAATGTAATAAGATCATCTAACTGGTCATCTTATTAATAACTTTATTTAAGACTAAAGAAAATAGGTTAAGTTTTTAAGGGAGATTAATTTTTAAGACATAAATAGATAATCCTATATAGTAAAACCCTAACATGCAAATTGACTGAACAAAATGACTGGTTGCTATGACACGCACTGACCACCAGGGGGGCAGATGCTCAACGCAGGAGCTGCCCCATGGTGGCCAACGCACTCCCACAGGGGGAGTATCACTCAGCCGAAGCCAGGCTCACAGCTGGCAAGCACAGTGGTGGTGGCAGGAGCCTCTCCTGCCTCCGCTGCAGGCAGGCCATAAGGAGCGAGGGGACTGTGAGAGGGATGTCTGACTGCCAACACAAGCCAGCAGGTGGACATATCCTGAGGGGCCCCAGGCTGCGAGAGAGTGCAGGCCGGACTGAGGGACCCTCCCTCTCCCCTCCAGTGCACGGTTTTCGTGCACAGGGCCTATAGTTGTATTATAAGCACAGATATAGCAAAAGTCAGAATGGTTGTACATTGATTGAATGATTCATATTTGGCAAATATTACCCTACAAGGTGCTAGTTGGCCAGATTTCTTTTTATTCTCTCTCTCTCTCTCTCTCTCTCTCTCTCTCTCTCTCTCTCAATCTTAGTATATCTGAATGAAGCTGCATGGGGAATAAGTTGCTTCCAAGAAGAAAAAAATAGTTGCGATCAATAATAATGATTCTAGTAACTTTTAGAGAGTGTCAACAAAGACTTATTGCCTCTCTGGTGCCGAGCGGGAGAGCTGCTTATCTTCTCTTCCCATCTGGCTTCGAAGCCACCGTTCCCTCCTCTCTCCCAGAGCAGGGACCCTGATGTTTATGTACGCTGGCATGCCCGCTGTCTTGTTCAGAGCAACCTCCACCGTTTCTTGTGAATTCTGTGTGTGTGCGCGCGCGAGTGCATATTAAATGGTAACAAGATAATGAGCCACGTCTAGGCTACCCCTGTTATTTATATTAAATAATGACACGATGATGTTGGTAGCCTGTAATTCTCCATTTCCTATTAACCACCCTGCCCAAGTAAACTGTTTTCTGATCTCTCTTAGATGGAAATCCTGTATGAATGCGGAAGCCATTAGCAGAGTAATTGCTGTCTGTTACCATGACAACCAGCCGCTGCAGTCACCTGCCAGAAGTGCTGCCAGACTGCACCAGCTCCTCTGTGCCCCTGGTGAAGACTGTGGAGGATTGTGGCAGCCTAGTGAATGGGCAGCCACAGTATGTCATGCAAGTTTCGGCCAAGGACGGGCAGCTGCTGTCAACAGTAGTGCGGACTCTTGCCACCCAGAGGTAGTACCACAATTAACATTAAAATAAATGAACGTGTAATTGATCCGAGGGACTCTTTGTCAGGGAAAGGGAATGTAATGAGTGCTCAGGTCTTTGTGTCAGGTGAGAGGTGGTAAGGGGGAAGGGTGGGGAAAGTGGGGGAGGGGAGACTACACAAGTTTTGTTTCTATAGCAATAGGGTATAAAGCTAAAATTCACGTTTTTCGCTTAAAGACACACTTGCAGAGAGCCAGGCAGGGAAGGATCCCACAAGACAGAGCCCCTTGCTTTACATGTATTTTGACATTGCAACAGTAATTACACTCATTGTCTCCAGACAGTGACAGAGATAACCCTGTGTTAGAATGGAATGAAGGAGGCACTGATTTCAGGTGGCTGAGCCAAAGTAATTGGATTTGTGGGCAGAACCTTTGAAGTGATACTCCTGGTGTGCATGCCAATGAGCACTGCCTGATAGGAGCACTTCCTGGGCCACTTCCTGGGCATGTCTCTTCTCCGGCACATCCCCACTTGGGGACCTCTTCTATTGCTCCCTCCTTTGCTCCTCATGCCCCCCCCCACACACACACACACCATGATCCTTCATACACACCCTGCCCTATGAAGTTTATTACTGTTAAAACCCCCACACTTGTCTCCCCTGAGTGATGAACCAAAGCAAAGCTAAAGGCTTTCAACAGCCCGGAAATGGCTTATCCAGGCCAATACTTTGTCCCTGGAGGTCTCTTCTTGTGCTGTTGCTGCCCAGTGACGGATCAGCAGCTACAGGCTGCCTGGCCAATAAGTACACCCTGGCTTCTCCACCTTTCTTTCAAAATGGGTAAGTGGGACTTTGGCCTATGGGTATAACATGTATATCCGCACTGGACTTGCCTCCTGATATCAGTGCTGACTCTTCTGACCCTGAGATGTGGGTCTGTCACTCACACCTGGACCGCATACCTTGGTCTGAGCAATTTAGCCAACCCCTTCCAGTGCAGATATAGGTCCGCAGATCTAAGCATGTACCTGCAGCAGGACCATAGGGCCACTGCCACATTTCCTGTTGCCTTCAGCCTGGACCTGGTGTCCGCCAGACATGGACACACACCCATGCATGTCATAAGCACTGTCCATGTACTTTCAATTTGTGCTGCTATGGCAAAGGGAAGTCATGGGGGGAAGAAAGTCAATATATATTTTTCTACCTTTTGAAAAGCTTCTTGACAATTGTTAGAACTCGGAATAGAATGAGGCAGTGAGCTTCATTGCTCATCTGTGAATTGAGACAGATAGCTGATGTGTATCTGTCACCCTTGCAGGCATCAGACACTTTGGTTGATTGGGAACAACAGGCTGCAGCACTGAAATGATGAGACTTGTGAGCCCTGGTGTGTGTGTGTGTGTGTGTGTGTGTGTGTGTGTGTGTGGAATTTTTGTGTTCTCCCACCAAGCAGTAATGTAAATGAGAAGGTTTTAAAATTTTACGTGCATGTGGCTCACTGTGAATGAAAGAGGTCATTAATAATGAGAGAGAAAAAGTCAACTCTTTAAACTTTATTGTCCTGCCCCTGAACATGAGTGAGTCTTTTGGGCAAGTGAGAAGGAGGTCCTTTCTCTTTTAATCCCTTTTTAGCCTTCACTCATTCCCAGGGTCATCCCTGGAAAGGCCTGTTGGAAATGGCAGTGTGTCTATCACTGTTTCCATTTGGACCAGAGAATGGTAGCCATGAGCCTGGGCCACTCTCATCTGCGGGGGACAGGAAGAGGCAAGGGAGAGTGGGCAAAGAGATTGGTCCTCAGGTTGGCACATTCAATGATGACATACTTTAAAATCTAATGCCTAATAAAGAAGAGTTTGAGCAATATAAAATCATATCAATCAGAAAGAGATAGTCCTCTTAGTGGATACAGGACACAGTATCCACTGAGAAGTGAGGTCATCTTTGCTTGACCCTTCCATTGGCTGCTGGTGTATAGCCATTATTTGATTTCCCTGACCTGAATTTTTCTACAAGTGAAAACAGCATTAATTCAGCATTTACTACTAGAGACCTGATGGACAAAGATTCCTGTAAGAATGGGCCTTCCTTCCCCTGGCTGCTGGCATCGCCTTGGCTCCAGTCGGAGCTGCCTTTCCTCCTTCCCATGCTGCCCAGAGGCCTGGAGCTGTTGGGGCGGTGCTTGCATATGCAAATTAACCCAAAGATGTTTGGGTTAATTTGCATACTCATTCCTGATTGGCTGATGGGTGTCACAAGGGTACAGTCAATTTGCATCTTCCTTTTTTATTAGTATAGATATGCTGGTCCCAATTCTAAGCTTCTCATCTGAATTACCTTTTCTCATCCTCACAATCACCATATGAGGAAGCCACCATTCTCTGTACCCATTTTAGAGATGAGGAAACTAAAGTACAGAGAGATGATGTTACTTGTCCAAAGCTAGCCAGCTGGTAAGTAACAAGCTGGTGTTCAATCCCAGGCCGCTAGATGCCAGAGCCTGCCACATGAACCACTATACCAGGTGCCTCACAAAACAAGCAAGGGTGATTTTTTCAAATTAAAGGCAGAGCTCTAGATAGATGCCACCTCAGCAAAAGGTGTCTTTTCATTACTGGCTTTCAGCTTAGTGTCTTTAGAATCCCAGAGAGCATCCTAGGAAAGTCCTGCTACTCAGCTTTGTGTTATGGCCCAGACAGCCCTTCTGTGGCGGCTTTGGGTTGGCAGCCAGTTTACTCCCCCTCTTCTTAGCCTCCCACCCCACTGAAAGCAGAAATGAAAGGGACCTCTGGGTATTCAAGTGTCCTGGCCAGGCTTTAAAAATGCAGTTTGTCCAGAAATTACAATTGGTATCATTTCAATGCCATTTCTGTCCTTAATGGCGAGGGATGGTTTTTACTTTTTAATTGGTATTTGCCTGAATTACATCTGTACCCAAGGCAAAAATAGCATGCTGCTTGTTTTCGCTCATTTTTGGTCCTGGGCCAATCCCCATTTCTTTGTATTAGCAAAAGTAGATGCTCAAGGACCATGGCAGTAGCCCCACTGGCAAGTACAAGAGTCGGTCTAGGGTTTTGTTTTCGTTAATCCTTACCCATTTCTTTTTTAAAAGAATGGAAGGGAGGGAGAGAAACAGAGAAACATCAATGTGAGAGAGACACATCGACTGGTTGCTTTCTGTACACCCCGGATCGAGCCTGCAACCAAGGTATGTGTCCTTGACTGGAATCGGACCTGGAACCCTTCAGTCCTTGGACCAACACTCTATCCACTGAGCCAAATTGACTAAGGCTAAATGTAGGGTTTTAAAGCAGGTGTCTTTTCTGAGCAGGGGTGCCTCTGGGTAGGGGTGAAGGACCCTGAGCCAGAGGACCATCCGCATGGCAGTGGTTTCTAGCCCAGTGACCAGCAGGTGCCCCTCGTCTCTTGCAGCCCCTTCAATGACCGGCCGATGTGCAGGATCTGCCACGAGGGCAGCAGCCAAGAGGACTTGCTCTCTCCATGTGAATGTACGGGGACCTTGGGGACAATTCACCGGAGCTGCCTGGAGCACTGGCTGTCATCCTCAAACACCAGCTACTGTGAACTCTGCCACTTCAGGTTTGCAGTCGAGCGCAAACCCAGGCCATTAGTGGAGGTCAGTAATTGGGGCACGTCCTGAAAACTTAGCTCTAATGAGCAAATGATGTCTGCTTTTATGCCCAGATCACAAACCTTGTGCAGTCTCACTGAAGCACAGAAACGGCTTTGCGTGAGAGCGTGTGTGAGAGTGTGCGCGTGCGTAGGTGACACAGATGGAGATAGCTCGCTAGCTCATTCAGGAGCAACAGTAGAAAGTTGACCTCCCTGAGGTGGAGACAGGAGAAGAAATCAGGGTGAAGAGAGGGGGAAGTTTAGAGACTTGATCTCCATTTTTCTATCCCTGTGAAGTGGAGCAAACAGGTCACTTTTCTCTCTGCACCCCACCTGCCCACCTTGAATCAACTGATCAATGTTTGTACTCTGAGAGGCCTCAAAGGAAAAGTATTTCTGCATAGTGGCTTGAGTAGTTCCGTGACCTTAAGTAAGTTACTTCACCTCTTGAAAGTGCTGTGTATGAGGATTAAATGAGGTAATGTTTACAAAGCCCTTAGAAGAATACTGGGAATACAGTGTTTGAATTTTTCTTTAATCTTCCCCAGGAAATTTATACAAGTTTTTTTCCCCAATTAATAACCTAGTATTAGAATCTCTTTTCTTAAAAAGTGGTATTATCAACCCAGCTGTTAAAATGGCAGACATTCTCTCTCATGTTTTAGGAGCCACATGATTCTTCTTCAGACCAAGGGTCTGGTCTTGTATGAGCTAGGGGAATTGGAAAATATCATTGGACTAATTTTTCCCTCTCTTCTACCCTCGATTGCTACCAGCCAATTAAAAATTGGATCTTTGCAACAATAAATATTCTACTACATTATGAAAGAGACCCAAGACAATGTGCCTGCAAGCCAGACATGTTAGTAACCTTCTCCTTACTTTAGCAGCTGGCCCAGTGCAGCTTTGGCATTAAACTAACGCTGGAAATCAAGAAGCCCTTCTGGAGGACTATTTAAACAGTGTGTTAGCGCCTTGGCACTCCAGGCCCTGGAGAGCTCTGCATATGTGTTCTCTCGGGTTTGACCTTGAAATTTTAATCAGGACCAGCAACTGAGGCCTGTTTTAGCGATGGCTTGCTTGCCAAATGGCACAAATTTATTTGACTTGCCCCAATAAACTCTATGCTTTTTTTTTTTAAGACTCTGGATCAAGTGACCTCTTAATTTAGCTGTCTTGCTGCTTGACAACCACTTTCAGAAATTCATATTTATAGCGTGCCCATCAGGGATTTGGCCCTCTGCCACATTCCCTGGGATTTACATGTCAGAACTTCTCTGCAGACAGGGAAATATAATTAAATAATAAACAAAGGAGATGAAGCTTTCTCAAGCCCAATGGCAAAATTGAAAAAGAAGCCTATTTCCCCTTCCTAGAAACTTTCGGGAACTTCCCCAAGTTGATACGGCAGCTTCCCTGGGCAAGCTGGCTCCCCACAGTAAGAAAACCCTGCTTCCGTGGGCTGAATCCAACGGCCTTCTTTACTAGTACCTCCCAGTAAAGAAGACTTTGCTTTTGCTTGGGGAAAAAACCCAAGGTATTGTGGTTATATATAACAAAGGGGGAGGGGGGGAGAGAGAGAGAGAGAGAGAGAGAGAGAGAGAGTGTTGTGTGTGTGTGTGTGTGTGTGTGTGTACACTAAGCTGACCAGACGTCCCGCTTTTGGCGGGACAGTCCTGCTTTTTAACAATTTGTCCCGCAGTGTGGGACGTCTGGTCACCTTAGTGTACACGCACGTGCACACAACTTAGTTTTCTCATAGTACACCCGTGTTGTATCACCCAATGAACCCACTGACTCCCAGAGAAGGAAACCCATCCACACAGAGATGTCTGTCGGGATACAGACTCCAGAATCTTAGTCAACTGGTATTAAACGAGGAAACAAGGCAAATGACCTTGAGCATGTGTGAGGTATTCTTCAAGATTTAGGGCTTCGCCTGCACAAACTTCACCCAAACGGTCTCAGGTGGTGAAATGTTCATTGCACAAATGGAATGTGACGTTTTTCAGAGTTAATGATGATTGAACAAGTTGAAAGTGAAAGGCAAACCTTCCCAAGCCGGGGGAGGCTGGCCGTTTGATCATCCCATGGTGAGATGAACTTGCTGTTTGACCACAAGCAATAAAAAGAAGTTGTCTTTGGTTTCTCAGCTGGAGGACAAATGAGAACCAGGTGCAGGCAGACTTTTAAACAGACGACATTACTAATTGACTTTCCCCCCTTACCAAAGGAAGAGTCTATCATAGTGACCATTGCTCCTCAGTACGTTTACCTCCAGATAAACACGAATCTTTTAAGTAAATCATCAAAACCTGCCAATGCGGGTGAAGCATTAACAGTTGTTACTTTGTTTCTCATTTTCACTCTTTTAATTGCTTTAATCATTACTTTATTTACCAGTCAGGTCTGCCTTCTCATTACAGTAAGAAAATTCCATAACATTTAATTTTAAAATCGATGTGGTAATAACAGCTCCTGTTGCTAGAGGAAGCAGTTGGAAAAGTCATTTATAAATTTTGTCAGCACCCAGACGTGAACATTGGTCGGAATTAGCTTAATACCTCAGACTCCCACTCAGTAACTCAGTCCTCAGTCAACATAACCCTTTATCCCCTTTTTGTTTGTTTGTTTGTTTGTTGTTCCTTTTTCTATTGAAATTATTGGGGTGACATTGATTAATAAAACTATACAGGTGTCAGATGTACAATTCTATAATATATCATCTGTATATTGTATTGTGTGTTCACCACTCCAAGTCAAGCCTCCTTCCATCACCATTTATCTCCCCTTCCCCACTCCAACCTCCCCCACTGACCCTGTCCCTTGATCCTCTTTAACACCACTATTCCAAAGTCACTTCGCCTTCACTTCCTTTCCTGAACTCTCTGCAGCCAGCAGTTGGAAGTTCATTTTTAACCGGTTGGGAACCCAGGGCTGGTACCTAAACATGAGCTGCTACATAGAATCTTTCCTCTCCCTCCCCGCAAAAGAGTGAGTTTCTACTCATAGTGGTGAATCAATGAGCTGGTTTTTGTTATTGTTGTTAATCCTCACCGCTGTGTGAGAAAGACACATCAATTGGTTGCCTCCCACATGTACCCTGACTGGGGCTGGGGATCGAGCCTGAACCAAGATAAGTGCTCTTGACCAGAATTGAACACAGGATACTTCAGTCCGTGGGCCAAGGCTCTCTCTACTGAGCCAGACCAGCTAGGGCCATGGGCTGGTTTTTATTACAATAGCACATCCAAACTGAGCATCACCTCCCCACTTTACCACTGACTATCTGGGTGGGTGGCTCAGTTTCTCTGAGTTGCAGGGTGAAGGAAGATGAGCTAGGAGCTCTCCCTGATATCCTTGGTCTCTATGAGGCTCTATAAGGCTAAAGGTCCAAGGCTAAAGTTCATGTGAGGGGGGGAAAAAATATGCTCTGCACTTAAATTATGCCCTGGATCATGTTGCTCAATAGTGATATTTATCCCCATGCACCAAAGGGTCTTGGGTTTGATTCCAAGTCAAGAGCACATACCTGGGTTGCAGGTTCAATCCCCAGATCCCAGTTGGGGTGTGTGTGGAAGGCAACCAATTGTGTCTCTCTCACATCCATATTCCTTTCTCCCTCCCTCCCTCCTTTCCTCCTTTTTTTCCTCCCTTCTTCCCTCTTATCCCTCCCCCCCTCCCCCACTGTTTCTAAAAGTCAAAGGAAAGACATCCTGAGATGGGAATTAACAAACAAAAAAAAGGATACTTTGTGTGGTACATAATTTATACCTCAAGATGATTGTGTGTACGTGTTTGTGTGTGAGTGAGTGTCTAGTTACCTGCCTACTTACATGGCCAGACCACATCGTCCTAGTCTCTTTTGGTAAAGTCATTGCCCTAAAATATTTCCTTGTCGTTACATAAGCCAGTATAACAAGAGCTAGTTTCAACCCAAAAGCTACATCTGGTTCATCTGTTTTTCTCTAGACGTGGGTTAATTTTCTCTACAGTCCAGCCAATATAAATCTCATAAAGCCTGCATCCAATGAGGTAAAGCTTGGAAGGAAAACATTCACACTGTACATAGCAAGAAGGAAGAGCAGACATAACCCATGTGTTTCCTCTCTGCACAGCTGGCATAGCTAGCACGCCTCTCCTGAAGGCTACATATTTTCTGCTGGTGATGCGTCCATTTGTGAGATGAATTATCCCCAGGAATAATGGCCTGGTAGAATGCAGTCAACAGACATCCACTAACCGTAAAAGGATTCCCTGAATGACCAGCCTGGGCGGTTTTATGGTCTCCTTCCCGCTCATTTTTCGTTTTCCTCATTTCTCTCTTCGTTGAACTCTGCTACCGTTCTTTTTTAAGGGTAAAATAGAGCAAACCAGCAAAAATACCACGGTTTGTTTCCCAATGCCGTGGGCCTTGACTCCAAGCTACAGCCGTGATTGCACATCTGACTGAGCAGGTAGCCAAGGAATCCCATCTTCCTCTCTGCAAATAGCGTGCTTGCAACATCAGTGTCTGGTGATGGCAGTATCTGCGTTCCCTAAGACGTGTATCAGGAACACCCAGCCTTGCCTGGGAAACGCATGAAGCCATAGATCAGCTCCACAATGTGGTGATTAAAATGGAACAGCCAGGAAGTGGTGGAAACCTGGAGGAAAGGCTTCCCAGGACCTGTCCTTCCTCCAATCCGGGAGACTCGGTGATTGTTCACAGGCGGAGTGATTAGGTTTTCGTATTTCTGTTTCCTTGACGCAAACCCCGCTGACTGATAAGAATTGTATGAACAATTTAAAAGCTGTTCCCTGTGAATCAGAGGTTTAGCTGAATTGAAAGGGAGTGTTTTCACACACATCAGTTACCCTGAATAATGGGATATAAAGCTAGGGAGGTGAGGATTGGGGATTTTTTCCCAAACGTTTTATTTATTATTATTTCTGTAAGTCACAGCTGGGGCGGGGGGAGGGGGGAAGAGAAGATGGTCCTAAAGCCCTGGATTCAGTGTAATC